AAATACTACATGTACATTGCTCAATAACGAGTACTTTGTTTAAAGTCGACACGATCATGATTTAGTGTCCATTGATGGTATTTTTCGACATAATCGTTACAGAAAATGTCTAATTCGTGGACATCTGCTTCTATTTGTTGGAGAAAACTGAGACCAAGACCAATCAGCTGGCCTCATCAAACGCTACAGCATAATTGATGTTCATTTTTTCGAAATTCTGACTTATTACAAAGTTGAATGTCGGTGACGATTAACGAATATAATAATACTAGCTGGGCCCCCTTTTGATGAAAGGAATTATCGGTGCATTACCATCGACTGAAAGTCATTGGCGTACTATATTTACACCCTACTGGAAAGGAGCAATAAATCGTAAGAGGTGCAAAAAAATTAGAAGGTCTAGATCTGTACTCTCAAAACAAAATACGCCTCTCGAAATATCACTTCCGGCACTTCCGCTGTGACGGACAGCTTTGCAGATTTGTTTCGTTTCTCAGTGGAATAATCACAAAGGCCAAAAAAGGACAGGTACTTTTGGTCAAATATATTTTTTATAAAACCAGGAAGTGAATACATAAACAATCGGGCTCCACCAGTGGGACCTATCTATCTTTTTGTAGGTACTTGCCAACTTTCAACTCTGTAGCAGTCGTGGTTTTATGGGAAAGGTGACACCTGTGTTTCCAAGTTGTCAAAATATAATAACAGATTATGTTTATAACCTTCCTCACCAAGCCATACAACTCCTGGCTATCAGTATGCAAAGAGGAGAGCTTGGCTTTTGCAACTCAGACATCGGTACAGAAATGTTAAGTGATAATCAGTTATAGAGCAATTCTTTCCAAAGCAGTCCTAAGTCACCACGATAATAATAATAATAATAAAAAAAGAATGGCAATCTGCACACCATTGTTAGGGAAACGGGGGAGGGGAGGCCAAGGTGTGTTTGGTGGGTGAGTTTGGGGGGGGGGGGGGGTCATTAGAGGTTCATGACCTCACCCATATGCCCCGCTTTTTTAAATTTTTTTATTTGCTTGTTTGTTAGTTTGTTTATTTTTGCTTTTTGGGGGTGGGGTGGGGTGGAGGGGGTGTCTCTTTTCTTTTGTCTTTTTATTTTGCTTTTTTGTGTGTTTCTGTTTGTTTTGTATGTTCTTTGGTTTCTTTTCTATTTGGTTGTTGTTTTTGTCTTTGGTGTTTGGGTTTGTTTTTCTGGTTCTGTATTTTCGATCTTTAAATCATAATCTATAGTTTTATATTGTAAGAATGAAAATAAACAAATTGAACACAGGTTCTAGGATAAAGACATCCTCATTATGGATGAAATACTTGCCTAGGGTAAGATGAGTCTTCCCACCACTCTCTCCCTACAAAAAATAGACGAAAAAAGGTTACATTTATATTAAACCGAGTCAAAAGACATTTTTTACATGAACTAAGCAACACAACTACCTTAGCCTCAATTTGAAAGGAAGCAAATGAAAGCTTGCCGTTCTAGCATTTTAAGTATATCGTATCTAGAAATAGAGAACTTAAAATGCTTCGTCAATTAAACCAAAAGTCAAAGGGTAAAAATCATTGATAACGATCGAGTATGGTCATCAAAAACTGACCTTGTGCAGTGGAGATAAAAAGACGTAATCTGCTGTGGTGCGTAGATTGCGTTGAAGTAATCAGTAACGAATACAAAGGTTACCTCGTCAGAACCTATATAATATTAGAATTCTCTTTCTTTTCAACTACCAGCGAGCACTTATTTAAGGTAAGTCTATTATTTGATGAATGTTTTTAAGCCGTTTTAACTCAATGGCAAAGTAGAGATGTCACCTTCGTAATGGGATACAGAAGCTTAAAAGCTGTTCATACTACCAGTGTTCAAACACGCCAATGATTCGAACCTGGACCGCGTGCAGTTTTGTGAGGGGTCTTCCCAACTAGGTTTACTCACAAACATAGCACTAATACAAGATTAGGTTAAAAAACATCTCTTTCGTTTTTGAAGGGATGGGATTAAGTAAGCTCGAAAAGTGGCGTTTCAGCTTGGTTTCAAAATAGCAAAGAGGACAGAAGGAAGACAGAAGGACAGAAGACTGAGACTGTGCACCAAAGTAGACATCTAAAACTTTCTTCTAAGTATGAATAGATCCATATTATGTGTTTTGTTCATTTGGTAGAGATGTTGCCCACTACACCGGTGTGCGTAGGGCCGTTATTGGTTTTTCTCTCCCCCCCCCACCCAAGCCCACTCGTGGAAATGCTTATGTTTTCGCTAAATCAATCTCTAGATCTAGATTCTAGTTGTCTCATATCATTTGCTTGAAGTGTCAGGGACAGTGAAAACCTCTGTTTAAAATTTCTCAGTTAGGACCTTTCATGCAGAACCACTGTCCGCGCTTGGGAGAGAGAGAGAGAGAGAGAGAGAGAGAGAGAGAGAGAGAGAGAGA